AGATCCCAACAGGACATTCGCCCGCCTCAATATTCTGAACTAACTCGTTATAATAACTATGGACCGCAGTTGTAGTTGACCTGCCTCTAAGAAAACCATGCTGATTTCTAGAGAAAATATTATGATAGTAACAAAATTGAAGAAGTCTTTCAAGAAAGAATCCGAGGCAGTCGATTTTGCGTCGCTCACAAGAACTCGGCCCTTCACAGACCACAACTTGGCGAATTTTGCGTCTTGACTTGGGCCTGCCACCGTACAAAATTCAACTAACCCAGGAACTGAAGGTAAACGACCTTAGGCAACGATGTATGTTCGCTGAATGGGCCCCGGAGCAGTTGGCAACTGGCTCTTAGTTTCATCGAAATGTCATCTTCAGAAACGATACCAAACCACACGAGTTCCAAGAGCGTCCAGTGCACCTGAAAAAGGCATGGTCATCTCACGTGGGGGTGACGTGAACTGGCCATCGAGATCGTGCAATTTGACCCAGTTAAACTTTTTCTTGAGGGGTTTTCTTAAGTCGCAGGTGTGTGCGGATAATCCACAAACCACAGCGTTCCTCAAAGCCAACATAACTTATGTTATAGGTCAAATTCAGCCTGATTTATACGCCAGAGGCATGAAAAATTGGACGTTTCGGAAACTTTTCAGAAACTCCAGGAATCGGCCCAGTGTGGAACATTGTTCAATAAAATAGCGAAATATCACTCAACAGACTTGGAAAAGGGCATAGAAAAATTGTTTTTGGAAAATTTGAAGGAAAGCGACTTCAGAATGATGAAAGCTGTTTTATTCGAAAAACAGCCTTGCGAGATGATTTTCAGCGAATATGGAAAATTCCATGGATTATCTATGCCATTCTTACGGCATATAAATCGAAATTTCTGCAGAGTTTCCAGGAAAAATCCAAAGACTTGTACGACTATTGGAGTGGTCTCGAAGACCACTTTGAAAAATGATTTCTGCGGAACCAGAAAAAGAAATAATCAGTAAGTTTCAAGAGGACTATTTTGGCAAAGGAACTCGAAGATATTTGAAAGCCACCAAATATGAGAAAAAATATCCTATAGTTACTCATGGAGACACGTGGAGCAGCAACTTGATGTTCAAGCACGATGGACCCGGAAAGGCGGCAGACATGAGAACCGTCGACTTCCATGGAACTAGGCATGGTAGTTTTCGATTTGTCCTACGCTATGTACTCTGGAGAATCGAAGGAAATTTTCCATGAACTGGACCACTACTTCGATGTTTATCATGGTAAAAATAAATTTTATCAACTTATTGAAAGCCATGTTCAATTTGAATCATATAACCTACTTACTTAACGAGTAATAATTTTACTTGAGTTTACGAATAGTATATTTAATTTAACGATTTGATTTAAAATCCCTTCAATGACATTTTTACACAGCTATGTTGTGAAAGAGTACAAATATTTATGTAATTCTGAAGACTGTATCGGCGAGAGATACATACATATAAGAAAATAAAATCTAGAAATATTCATCTCTCTCAGCGTACCTACATAGTAGGTACACGTAAATGCCTGAGGAGAAACCTACTGCCCCGGCTAATACCACATTGGACATTGAATTATATCCGACAGACATTTATGCAAGATACTGAACAGAGGTTAGTCTTGCAGATAGTTCTCGATCACCAACAGCAGGGCCACGTTGAAATTAATCAAGTCCCAACCGTTGTTTGGGTCGGATCTTTCCTGCACTGATGAGAGGTAATACCTCGAAACCGGTCTGTAATAAAACTACTCGAATAATTTTTCAGCATGGTCCTGCTGCTGGATGAAAGAGAAACATCGGCAAGACTAACCTCTGTGAGGTATCGTGCATAAATGTGTTGAACATAATTCGATGTCTATCGTGGTATTAACCGGGAAAGTAGTTGTTTTTCGTCCTGCATTCACCGGAACCTACGGTGTAGGTAGTTGAGAGAGTTGAATATTTCAAGATTTTATTTCGAAATATTTATTTTCTTAAATTAATATCTGTTCCCGTGTTAGGAGTCACACGTTAAAAGGTAAGACCTCATTAATTCCTAGCTCGCATAAGTTTCGACTTTTGAGAGTTGTCCTTCGTAGGGGGGCGACAGTTGGTTAACGGAAAAACATATTTTTTTAACAGATTTCATAATTCAAGTGCAATTTGCAAAAATCAGTCAGTATTTTAAGTATCTTGAGATGATGCACCGGTTTTTGTTATTACTTTGTTGTTATTATTACCTATCGTATAAAAAACATGTAGGTAAACTTCCAAAGAAAAAATTTAAATTTCATTCATATGTGGTGAAAATACAACTGATCATGTGGCAGCCTGCAATTTTAATGAAAGACGTCCAGGTCAAAATGTACAACAATCTACTTAGAGTAGAATTATGGCGAAATTCAAATCTACTCGATCGGTGGAAAGTTCATTTAAAAAACGCCACAAACCAATGAAATATAGTGAAGAAGTCCAATTGAATGTGTGCTTAGATATAATGGAACATGAAAACACCAATATTAGAGATGTTTCACGCAGAACTGGCGTTAAAAAAGAGAGTATAAGGAATATTTTGTACCTAAATTCATACGTACTCTTGAGGAGCAAGATTTTGAAGTTCGTTTGGTATTTTATTTTTGTTACCGGTGTTGTTAGCTCTCAAAATGGTAGATGGTGAGCTCAAGAAAATCAAAACTTTGTAAAAGAATTCAGGGAATTCTTAAAAAAATGTGTTGTGCTCTGTTTTAGGCAATCACATTATTGAACCTTTTCTTTTCTACAGGTGATTCAAATTCTGAACTTCCTCAACACCGATATTCTAGTAGTTTGGGACAATATGTCTATTGGAAAGAGGCATAATTTGTGGTACCAGTGTGATAGTGCCATAATAAGAAACAGATTCGACAACTGCTCTTGGAAATGTTCAGGGGCAAAGTAATTGGGCGTTAATATGGAACGATACTGGCCAGCAAAATCTTCTGATTTAACCCCACTAGATTTTTTCTTGTGGAGTTATCTAAAGTTCACAAAGAAAAACCTTTTCGTAATGTTGATCATTTGGAAGGGGTGATTCGAAATTGTATCTTGAGTATAAGGCATCAAAATATCAGAAACTCGATTGAAGCTGTATGAAGGAGAATAAATATCTAAATTGAAAGGAGTATATTTTTGGAAATGAAAGTTTTGGCTCTCTACTTCCCCATCTTTATACCAAAAATTAATTGTTTTCTTTCTTTCTTTGGGAGATTCCCACAATTTGTTTGTATGGAGAAGTAGATGGCCACAACATTTCTTTCCCAAAACCAAATATCTGTTATTTTGTATTTTTCGAATGGTTTTCAATTCCCAAAAATAGTTTGCTATCAATTTAAAAGGTGTTACTGTTAATGTTTTTCTGACGAGTAGTTTTTCTCATTTCAATAATGTGTAATAAGTTTTGATACGAACTAATCTTCTTTTCTTTTCTATTCAATGGCCACAGCAACTAAGGCTGTCCGGCCAGTATGGTTATGTTCAAAATTACCTGGTTGGCAGCTATGAATTCAGGAATGTAAATGGATGGACGTGGCTTCATTTGTTGCATCTGCTCCTTCAACTGTTGCTGTAGAGCCGGCTCCAAAACTTGCGCTCGTTCGACAGATTCTGCCAAGTTCGCCGAACTGATGTCCCAGCCATCGATAACAATGTCATCGGGGTGAACCATCGGCAGCAGATTGGAAAAGGGGACGAATACGTCTTCCCCCAAACGCACTGTTCCAGCCTGCGTAAGGGATCCTTCGAGAAAAAATAATTGAATAAGTTGTTGAAAAAGACAAAATAATGATCCAGATTTACAACTCTTAAGAAAAGGTTACAAAATCGTATATACAAGGTGGGCCATCGAAAACATACAGTACGGCAGAATTGTTAGGGAAAGAACTCCCTGTGAAAATCCGAAAATACGTCAAGTTTATAAAAGCTTGCCGTATTAATCAAGTGAGTGCTGGGAATGTTGTCCGCCACCTTCAAACAGTTGTCGTACACTATCAAGCACATATATAGCATAGAGCATATAGAGAAAAACCAAGAAAATACTTGATATAAATAGCTGCGTAAACGCAAGCGAAACATAAGTGGAACCATCTATTGGTGTGACACCCAAGTCAACTTGCCAAGTTTTTATGCCAGTGTTGGTGATTGATTGGTCAAACCATCTCCCTTATTGGAGTGTTGTGTCCACGAATTGTTTCATTATTGTCAAATCCTGTACATTTTATATGTATCCTCACATAAAAATCTACAGGATTTAAGTCGGATGACCGAGGAGGCCGCTTTTTTGAACCCCTTCGATCTATCCAGCAATCTCGAAACCAACCTACCGTTTGAATAATTAGGTACATTTCTCCGTATTTTTTCTCGGTTTTTCAAATGAACCAAACTCGCTGAGATTTTGATCCAATAACTTGAACATAGTTCGATGTGGTTGTCGTCTTTCCGGATACAAGTTTAAATACATTTCCGATGTTCTACCACTCTATCGTATTTGTAATAAATTTGTATCATATCTCTTTTTCCTCATTCGTCAAAGCAATTTTTCGCCAAAAGTTCAATGACTTGTACAATAACAAAATGTCATTGAGTGTAACAAATTGAAAGTAAAATTTAGAAACATCAAAGTCAAAGCCTAGGTATTATGATAAGAATTAATTTTTTCAATATCTCCAATTTTTCGAAAAAGAATGATAACTTATGATACATTATTGAAAAGGTACAATCTGGTTCTATGCAAAACAGAAAAAATCCAATGTAGCTCTCATAAGAACAAATAAAGTTGATGATGGTGGCCGGAAGACGAAACGTCGGATAGCAAATCTAAAAACACCATTATGTAGCAGGGAAAAAGTGGCAACGTGGAAGTGCAATTTATTTTCGAATCCTTCGAAAAATAAAGCCAGAAAAAATAAAAACCATTTTCCGAAATTTCTGTTTTTTCCGGATATCTCCAGATATACTCGGAATTTCAGAACTTTCTCAAAGGCATATTGTTAGTCAGGTAAATGCACAACTTTGCTTTGAATTACCCTGTATAGTGATGTCGGAAACACATGTATTGTGATACATAGCTCAATTTGTTATTGTAATGGCTATAAAAATCCATGAAAAAAAAACTAGAGGTCCGTATCAAAAAAAAGATGAAATCTAATGAACGGAACATCGCATTACAAATGGTTTGTATCATATTATACCAAATTTGAACAGTATTAAATCTTTTTAATATCATTCGAAATGGAACCGGAAGAGTTAAAAAACGAAATTCGAGAGTTCTAGTTTTTGGCGAATATTTCAAAAACAACAAACGATATGCTTGACCTAAAAAGAGATTATTCTAGTTATCCAGAATTGGACATTTCTGTCCAATTTAATTGACCTTGTAGGTCTCGCCGTTTCCGAGATAGCAATAGCGGTATCAGCTGAAAAAACGGCCTGCATATTGTGTGATTTGTTTTAGACGGTTCATTAATGAAAAAGTTATGCCAACTTGAAAAATACTTAATGTTGAATACAAAAATTATATCAAAATACTGATCAGTTGATTTGGCTATACAGTGCATTTCTTTAATGTCCCCCTCCCCTTTATTTTTTGAACGGGTCAACTCAAAAAATTGAAATTTGGGATAATGATATTGATGCTTGAATACTTTATTTTGAAGTGAAATTGACAGATGAAACTTTCAAGATGGTGACTGGGCGCCATCTTGAGGTCAGTTCAGAAGATGCTCGAAATGGTTGCCTTGAACTTCTTGACATATTAACAGCCTATCCTATATTTCACACCGAACATTTTCGAACACAGTAACGTCAATATCTCTACAAATATTTATTATTTCCTGCCGTATATCCAATACTGAAGCAGGTTCAGTTTCGTACACCTTTTGCTTCAAATAGCTCCATAAAAAAGTCCAAAGGTGTCAAATCTGGCGAGCGGGCTGGCCATATTGTAGGACCTCAACGGAGTTTCCAGCATATTCAAATACAGTTTTCCTGTTAAATTTTGATCAATAAATAGAGGTCCTACAATATGGTTTCCCAATATTCCTGCCCAAACGTTAATTTTTTCTGGATATTGGGTATGTGTTTCCCGGAAAACGTGAGGGTTGGTGTCACTACAATAACGGCAATTTTGCCTGTGAACATTGCCGTTCTTCCGGAATGGATGGATGGATGACCTGGGGGCTTTTTGTTATGAACATACCGGTAGTTGTGAATTTGGATACAAGTTCCCTCAAATATTTTGTACAGATAGGACGATTCGGAAAACGTTCATTGAAAATCCTTTCGTTCTCGTGAAAGTTATATATAAAGATAGTTGACGTAATACCTTTCTACAAGTAAAACCAAAAACTAAATGAGAATATTCTAACTGGACAATAATGTTCATTGTCGTACTGACATTTTTGTCGTTTTTATAAACAAAAAATAACTTAACAAACCTTATCGGGTTGTTGGAATTGCCATATGGCAGATAAAAAGGAATATTTCTAGAAATATCGATATTAATGTGTTTGTCTTCAGGAAATTATTAAATGTTCGGCCATTTTGTAGTAGGTGAGGATATTGAATTCATATTCTAGGAATGTGATGTATTCGTCAGGTGCTTCAAAATGATGTGTCACAAGACCCCCCTTTCTATTTAATTTTTTCCCAAATGGCGCCCAGTCGCCATCTTGAAAGGTTCATCTGTCAATTTTGCTTAAAAATAAAGTATTCATGCATTAATTTCATTATCCAAAATTTTAATTTTTTGAGTTGACCCGTTAACGAAATAAAAGAGGGAGGACATTAAAGAAATGCACTGTATACCACGACACAAACACATGACATTAAAACATAATGAAAAGCAAAAAAAATCGTGAATATGGTTCACAGGTGGTCGATTTCCATTGCTTACTTTCAAGAAAATACAGTCCATGATGAAACTGGTTACTATTGAGTACGAAATACTCCAAAAAATACCTCCTCACATACCTTATGATAACTATAGTAGTCCAAGATTTTTAGAGAAATATAGTTTTTTCAGACAAATCAGCTGTCGCCCCCATACGAACGACAACTCTCAAAAGTTGAGAACTTGTGCGAGCTAAGGACTAACAAGGTCTTACCTTTTAACGTGTGATTCCTAAAAGTTAGAAGGGTTTTGAGTGTTCGCCGATTTTCTACTATCGAAAAAAACGGATGAAAGAATTTCCATCAACTTTTGTATGAAGAATGAAAATTAGTGCTCAAAAACGCTTGAAATTTTGACAGTGGCATACGGTGATTGTACTTTGAGTCAGCAAAATGTTTACAAGAGGTACAAGCTTTTCACAGAAGGTCGAGAAGATGTGAATGACGACGCTCACCCTGGACGCCCCAGCACATCAACAACCGACGAAAATGTTAAGAAAATTGTTATGGAGGATCGTCAAATCGCTATTAGAGAAGTTATTGAGGATGTCAAGAGCGTGTACCATTTGTAAACATTTTTCTGATTCGAGAGTACAATCACCGTATGCCACCGTCAACATTTCAAGTTTTTTTGAGCACCTAATTCCATTTTTTACACAAAATTTTATGCAAATTCTTTGATAAATTATTTTCGAACACTTTCAACTTTTATGCCTCTCACCAACAAACTAAAAATGCTAAACAGCTTAAACTGTGAACATATGTTCAAGATGAGTGTATAGTCGAAGTAAATTTTACTGTGAATACTTAAAGCTATCGGCATCTCAAAGTCCAAAAAAACCAATACAGAGAAATAATGCTGCTGCGAACTAGTCCACGTGTACTGAAGAATAGGCGGTTTGTATTGGATAATTTTTACTAACCGAGTTTCATGATTGGCTGAAGAGTCATAAAATTAAATTTGAAGTCATGTTACGGTGACGAATAGAATGTGGGGATGAGTATCGCCTTTGTGTCGTCAATGCTCATCGCGATTTGAGTGTTGAAATTCGATATTGGTGCAGTTATAATTACTTGAAATTTTTGTTATCTCTTTAAAATTTGGCGTCTTTGGACAAGTACTAATAGTAATAACGAGTGTGATAACAACGCAGACTTTTTCCAGTGTAGTGATTCCAATAGCGATGGTGAACAATGCGAAAAACAGATACTAGTGAATAAGATTCGGATGTATGTTTCAATGAATATAAGAATCTACATCTCAAGTTTGGTTTCGAGGAAAAGAAACTATTACAAGCAACATCAGATTTGACCGAAATTCCTTTCTCTGCTGTACGTAAAATAGTCAAAAACAAACCTTATGAACGCAAGACGCGATGTGATACGGGATTACCAAAACCTTGTTCATCTAAAAAAATCATTGAAAAAAAACAATATACGACTGTTACAAAAGCAATGAAATTCCTACAACCGAAATCATAAGGAAGAAATTGAATACTTCCGGCCATAACGTGAGCTGCTGTGACAAAACTCATCAGAATTGGATAAAGAAACTAGGATTTAGATTTAAAATAATACTTATAACAAATAACTAAATATAGACAAGAACAACGGCAAATTTTCTATTTGGACGAAACTTGGTATGTCACTCACGACACAGTTACGAAAGGGTGGACTGATGGTTCGAGAATTTGTACGCCTAACATGCCTGCAAACAAAGGATCGCAATCATGTGCATTGCGGAGAAAGTGAAGGATGGGTTCCGAATTTTTTGAAATCATGTGGAAAAAAAACTTGAGGACTGCAATGTTAACTATCATAAGAACATGGAAGCTAATATTTTTGCG